ACTTTAAATGGCGTTCAACTCACTTTAAATGGCGTTCAATTAACTTGAAATGGCATTAAACTAACTTCGTATGGCGTTTAGCGCATTTCAATTGGCGTTAAACTAACTTGAAATGGCGTTAAACTAACTTTAAATGGCATTAAACTAACTTTAAATGGCAATAACCTTACTTCAAATGGTGTTAAACTTACTTTAAAGGGCGTTAAATTAACTTTAAATGGCGTTGAACTAATTTTAAATGGCATTTAACTAACTCTAAATGGCGTTAAGCTAACTTTAAATGACATTCAACTAACTTTAAAGGCGTTCAACTAACTTTAAAGGGCGTTAAACTGACTTTACATAGCGTTAAACTAACTTCAAATGGTGTTAAAATAATTTTAAATGGGGTTAAACTAACTTTAAATGGCGTTTAACTAACTTTAAATGGCATTAAACTAACTTTAAATGGTATTAAACTAACTTTAAATGGCGTCAAAGTGACTTGAATTGGCGTTAAACTAACTTTTAATGGCGTTAAACTAACTTTAAATGGCATTAAACTAACTGTAAATGGCGTTCAACTAACTTTAAATGGTGTTATACTAACTTTATATGGCGGTAAACTAACTTCGAACGGCATTAAACTAATTTCAATGGCGTTAAACTAACATTAAATAGTGATAAACAACTTTAAATGGCGTTAAATAAACTTTAAATAGAGTTAAACGCTCTTCAAATGGTGTCAAACTAACTTTAAATGGCGTTAAACTAACTTCAATGGCGTTAAACTAACTTTAAATGGCGTTAGACTAACTTTAATTGGCGTTAAACTAAATTTAGATGGCGTTAAAATATCTTTAAATGGCATTAAACTAACTTTATATGGCATTAAACTATCTTTAAATGGCGTTAAACACGCATCAAATGGCGTTAAACTAACTTTAAATTTAGTTAAACTAACTTTAAATGGCCATAAAGGCGCTTGAAATGGCGTTAAACTAACTTTAAATGGCGTTAAATTTACTTCTAAACGGTGTTAAACTTACTTCAAATGGGGTTAAACTAACTTTAAATAGTGTTAAACTTATTTAAATGGCGTTAAACTAGCTTCAAATGGCGTTAAACTAACTTCAAATGGGTAAAGTAACTTTAGATAGCGTTAAGCTAATTTTAAATGGAGTTAAACTAACTTCAAATGGCGTTAAACTATATTTAAATGGCGATAACCTAACTTCAAATACTGTTAATCGCATTTAAAATAGCGTTAAACTAAGTATAAATGGCGATAAACTAATTTTAAATGGCGCTAAACTAACTTTAAATGGCGTTAAACAAACTTCAACTGGCGTTAAACTAACTTTAAATGGCGCTAAGCGTGCTTCAGGTGGAGTTAAACTAACTTTAAATGGCGTTAAACTAATTTTAAATAGCGTTAAACACACTTTAAATGGCATTAAACTAACTTTAAATGGCATACAACTAACTTTAAATGGCGTTAATCTAACTTTACATGGCGTTAAACTGACTTTATATGGCGTTAAACTAACTTCAAATGGCGTTCAACTAACTTTAAATGGCGTTCAACTAACTTTAAATGGCATTAAACTAACTTTAAATGGCATACAACTAACTTTAAATGGCGTTAATCTAACTTTACATGGCGTTAAACTGACTTTATATGGCGTTAAACTAACTTCAAATGGCGTTCAACTAACTTTAAATGGCGTTCAAATAACTTTAAATGACGTTAAACTAACTTTAAATGGCGTTAAACTTAACTTTAAATGGCATTAAACTAACTTCAAAAGGTGTTAAACTAACTTCAAATGGCATTAAACTAACTTGAAATGGCGTTAAACTAACTTCATATGGCATTAGACTAACTTTTAATGGCGCGAAACTAACTTCATATGATGTTAAACTAACTTTAAATGGCGTTAAACTAACTTTAAATGGCGCTTAATTAACTTCAAATGGCGTTAAACTAACTTTAAATGGCATTCAACTAACTTTAAATGGCATTCAATAACTTTAAATGGTGTTCAACTAACTTTAAATGGCGTTCAACTAACTTTAAATGGCATTCAACTAACTTTAAATGGCATTCAACTAACTTCAAATGGCATTAAACTAACTTTAAATTGCATTAAACGTGCTTCAAGTGGCTTTAAACTAACTTCAAATGGCATTAAACTAACTTCAAATGGCATTAAACTAACTTCAAATGGCATTAAACTTACTTTAAATGGCCTTAAAGACGCTTCAAATGGCATTAAACTAACTTTAAATGGCGTTAAATTGACTGTAAACGGCGTTTAACTAACTTCAAATGGGGTTAAACTAACTTTAAATAGCGTTAAACTAACTTTAAAGGGCGTTAAATTGAATTTTAACGGTGTTTAACTAACTTCAAATAGGGTTAAACTAACTTGAAATGGCTTTAAACAAACTTCAAATGGCGTTAAACTAACTTTACATGGAGTTAAACTGACTTTATATGGCGTTAAACTAACTTCAAATGGAGTTCAATTAACTTTAAATGGCGTTCAACTAACTTTAAATGGTATTCATTTAACTTTAAATGGCGTTTAAATAACTTAAAATGACATTAAACTAACTTTAAATGGCGTTAAACTTATCTTTAAATGGCATTAAACTAACTTCAAAAGGTGTTAAACTAACTTCAAATGGCGTTAAACTAACTTTAAATGGCGTTAAACTCACTTCAAATGGCGTTAACCTAACTTCATATTGCATTAGACTAACTTCTAATGGCGCGAAACTAACTTCATATGACATTAAACTAACTTTAAATGGCGTTAAACTATCTTTAAATGGCGTTAAACTAACTTTAAATGGCGTTAAACTAACTTTAAATGGCATTCAACTAACTTTAAATGGCATTCAATAACTTTAAATGGTGTTCAACTAACTTTAAATGGCGTTCAACTAATTTTAAATGGCGTTCAACTAACTTTAAATGGCATTAAACTAACTTCAAATGGCATTAAACTAACTTTAAATGGCATTAAACGCACTTCAAATGGCTTTAAACTAACTTCAAATGGCATTAAACTAACTTCAAATGGAGTTAAACTATCTTCAAGTGGCATCAAACTAACTTCAAATGGTGTTAAACTAACTTTAAATTGCGTTAAACTAACTTTAAATGCCGTTTAACTAACTTTAAATGGCATCTAGCTAACTTTTAATGGCTTTCAACTAACTTTAAATGGCATTAAACTAACTTTAAATGGAGTTAAACTAACTTCAAATGGCGTCAAACTAACTTCAAATAGCATTAAACTATCTTTAAATGGCATTAAATGCGCTTCAAATGGCGTTAAACTAACTTCAAAAGGCATTAAACTAACTTCAAATGGCGTTAAACTAACTTCAAAAGGGATTAAACTAACTTCGAATGGCGTTAAACTAACTTCAAATGGCGTTAAACTAACTTCAAATGGCGTTAAACTAACTTTAAATGGAGTTAAACTAACTTTAAATGGCCTTAAAGACGCTTCAAATGACGTTAAACTAACTTTAAACGGTGTTAAATTAACTTCAAATTGCGTTAAACTAATTTCAAAAGGCATTAAACTAACTTCAAATGGCGGTAAACTAACTTCAAATGGCATTAAACTAACTTTAAATGGAGTTAAACTAACTTTAAATGGCCTTAAAGACGCTTCAAATGGCGTTAAACTAACTTTAAATGGCGTTAAATTGACTTTAAACGGTGTTAAACTAACTTCAAATGGGGTTAAACTAATTTTAAACGGCGTTAAACTAACTTTAAATGGCGTTAAACGTATTTCAAATGGCGTTAAACTGACTTGAAATGGCATTCAATGCGTTTCAAATGGCGTTAAAGTAACTTTAAATGGCGTTAAACTAACTTGAAATGGCATTATACTAACTTTAAATGGCACTAAACTAACTTTATATTGCAGCATGACGTCTGTTTTTGGTACAGTTTTGACTGATGAATCCGAGCTCCTATACTCAAAACCTGTTCCTGGTCGACGGTCCTACAAACTTCGTGCGTCTACAATATTTTCTCTCGTGTTGTCGCTTTCTACATGAGGGACTTTGATTATAATAATTAGCTACTAATGTTATAACTTTTAAAAGAAGAAAAGTTGATGATATATATTTTTCTCCCTCATAGATCCTTCTCTCAATGCCATTATCTCAGCGAGGTCGCCGCCAGTGATCCCGAGTTTCGGTCTCAAATGTTTAGTTCTCCGAGTCGGACTTCCGTGGTCTCGAATTTGTTATCGAGACCATAACAATATTAATTAATTATAAAGTGTTTTTGGAGAGAGTGACCTAACCTAACTTAAGCTAACACAAGAGGGAAAGCACCCTAAAATTACATCTGTGACGTCACTCCTACACTTAACCAATCATAATGTTTGTAATATTCTGGGGAACGCAGGTCCATTCATAACGTGACCACTGCACCCGTGAAGAAGTGACTCTGGGACAGACCATGTTGTACAGCTCTTAATTTATTTGTTATAGTTGTATTTATAAGCAGTACTCCAGCAAGGTAGTTAACAATGTACTTACAACATTGTAGGGTGTAGTACAAGTGGATACAGGTGTAGTGTGGCCAGTAATGTACTCATAAGAGTGTTGTGTTGTTAACAGGCGGCAGTACAAGAAGTTGCGGATAATAGAGAGGTTCGGGAAGGACACACACACACACACACACACACAGAATGACCACCATAGTTATCACTAACGATAACACGATAACCACCAAGAGATATCAATTGATGGGAACGCTGTTAACAAGGCAGGTAAATAGGTTACTGGCCTTTACCATTAACAAGAGGGTCAAGAAGCACACAAACATCATGCTGTCACTCTCTACCTCCGCCACTAAGGATTAACAGTCACTTAATTATCTGCAAACAGTCATCAACTTGCTAGAGGAACCAGTCGTTGTTATCTGAGGCTGGAGAGGACTGATAGACACCTGTGCTTATCTCTAGTGGTCGTCGCTCTTAAACACGGAGAGACAGTACCATAAGTAGCCTCACCATACGCACACACTCTCATCTTCATAAGGATTTTGGCCTAAACTACGTCCCTGTAACACTCTACTGTCTCCAAACAATTTCAGAAACCGGATTTAGTCGAAGTTCTGTCAGTGTGTGTGTGTATGTAATTCGATTTAAGACAAAGGTATAAAACTGCGCATTATTTTGGCCGAGTAACGGTTCGGGTTGTGGCAGTGAGAGCTTCCTCGTGTTGGTGGTGAAGGACTCCCGTACGGCAGCACCATGGCGCTCGGTAAGGGTCGAGGCAACATGGAGGAACACCTCGAGCTGTTGCAGTACCTCATGTATATCTTCAACACAGTCTTCTTCGTGAGTATCAGATCTTTATCTTGCTTCAACAAGGTGGAGGGAGGGAGAAACACACGCCACTCCACCACGCCGCCACTCACCACGCCACGCCACTCCACCACGCCACGCCACTCCACCACGCCGCCACTCCACCACACGCCGCCACTCACCCACGCCACGCCACTCCACCACCGCCACCACTCCACCACGCCACCCTCCACCACGCCGCCACTCACCACGCCCGCCACTCACCACACGCCACGCCCTCCACCACACGCCACGCCACCACCACGCCACGCCACGCCACACACGCCACGCCACGCCACCACACGCCACGCCACTCCACCACACGCCACCTCCACCACACGCCACGCCACTCCACCGCCACGCCTCCACCACACGCCACACTCCACCACGCCACCACGCCCTCCACGCCGCCACGCCACCACACGCCGCCACCACACGCCGCCACGCCACGCCACCACGCCACGCCACCACGCCACCACACCGCCCTCCCCACACGCCACGCCCACTCACCACGCCGCCCTCCACACGCCGCCCACTCCACCACACGCCACGCCACTCCACCACACGCCACGCCACTCCACCACACGCCACGCCCTCCACACGCCCGCCACTCCACCACACGCCGCCACTCCACCACACACGCCACGCCACTCCACCACACGCCACGCCCTCCACCCCCGCCACTCCACACGCCACGCCCTCCACGCCACTCCACCACACGCCACGCCCTCCACCACGCCACGCCACTCCCACCCACACGCCACGCCCGCCACCACGCCGCCACTCCACCCACACGCCACACCCTCCACCACACGCCACGCCCACTCCACCACCTCACACCACACCCCACTCCACACACCTCACACCACCCCTCCCCCCCACCTCCCCACCCCTCCCACCACCCCACCAGCACACACACACCCCTCCACCACAATACCACACCCAACAGCACTGAACTAAGCAACACACACACACACAACACACCAATACACACACACCCAGTGATAATGGCCCGTGAGACCCAACAACCAGCGATGTGTTAATCCGTCTACGATAGGAAGGCCTGGGACCACACCTCACTCATATAACACCGTCTGTGAGGGAATTACTACACCACGTGAGGCCCCTCATAACACCGTCTGTGAGGGAATTACTGCACCACGTGAGGCCCCTCATAACACCATCTGTGAGGGAATTACTACACCACGTGAGGCCCCGCATAACACCATCTGTGAGGGAATTACTACACCACGTGAGGCCCCTCATACACCACGTGAGGGCCCTGTGAGCATAACACCATCTGTGAGGGAATTACTACACCACGTGAGGCCCCTATAACACCAAGGGAGTTACTACACTACGAGGCCCTCATAACACCATCTGTGAGAACTACTACACCACGTGAGGCCCCATAACACCATCTGTGGGGACTACACCACGTAGGCCCCTCATAACACCATCTGTGGGGAACTACTACACCACGTGAGGCCCGCATACATCATCTGTGGGGAATTACTACACCACGTGAGGCCTCATAACACCATCTGTGAGGTACTACACCACGTGAGGCCCGCATAACACCATCTGTGAGGGAATTACTACACCACGTGAGGCCCCTCATAACACCATCTGTGAGGGAACTATTACACCACGTGAGGCCCCGCATAACACCATCTGTGAGGGAATTACTACACCACGTGAGGCCCCTCATAACACCATCTGTGAGGGAATTACTACACTACGTGAGGCCCCTCATAACACCATCTGTGAGGGAACTACTACACCACGTGAGGTCCCTCCTAATACCATCTGTGAGGGAGTTACTACACTACGTGTCTGCTGTTCAACACCTCACCGTACATGGCCTCCACTGTAAACATTAATCTGTATGTTCACTGTATGTTCCTTTACCTTTCTCTAATGAAGGCTTTTGTTAAACCACCAATGTATGTAATAAGTCATTTATGTCCAATGTATATTTTCAGCCTTCGGGCTGCAGAACTTTCAATAAACCGTTAATTATTATTATTACACACACACACACACACACACACACACACACACACACACACACTATTACTACTACTTTTTTTTTTACGTGGCCTCCAGCCTCCCCCAATAGCCACACCTTCGCCACCATTTTATTACCTTAATATTAAATATCCTAATACATAAGTAGCTATCCTATCTGTGCTGAATTAGTTGAGCCGCAGATCTTTGCGGCATTCAGTGACTGTAGCCTCATCGTCAATATCTGCAGCAGTTGTCGGAATTGGGGCAGAAGCTCTCGTTCCCTTGAGGCAGAGCAAAGCCGACCGAAGGAGAGAGAAAGACAGTCGACATCTCATCCAGGCTGTAACATAACTTCTGGGCTGCTGCTTCTGTTCGGAGGTCAACTCCGCGAGTCTGGCGTAGAAACATCTTGCACTTGGGCCCATCCCACCAGAGGTTGTGAACACTAGAGGAGTGAAGCTGCCTTGATCAACGTTTTGAATTCTCTCCCCATATGCCCTTCTCTTGTCGTTCTCGTTCCTCCTATGTGCAGCATCGAGAGCTAGGTTACGGTGACATGCGGCCATGGGATCAAAAATCCTGATGTCGATAGAGCTCGCTGTCCCCGCATCCAGAATCCTCGAGCACTGACGTCCACACGGGCTTCGTTAGATGTGTTTGAAGTCCTGTGTTGGAAGATCTCACCATCCAATGGAAGGAGAGTCAGTCCTACCATGACATCCCTTCAGATTTCCTTCAACATATTTGCTGTGAGGTCCCTTACCTCGTCATGCCTCATGCATATGAAGCCCCCTTTCTTGCACACCATGGCGTGATCGCCATCACAGGAAGAGCCACACACGCATTGGGAGGGCAAACCTTCTACTGGCTTTCCGTACCTTAGTGCAATGGCATCTGTAAATTCTTGTTTATTAAGACTGAAACCATTTGCCCTTATCGGTAACATAGTTAACCAGTTCGAGGCGCCTACCTCCTGCGCTATAGCTACTTTTTTTTTCAAATTTTCTGGTACCTGCAGCAACAGTTGCTGCAACTTATCATTTTGGCAGTGCTGTCGATCTGTCGTAGTGGACCTACGAATCTTATTTACTTCACTGGTATCCATCTCCCCTGTTGCATTCTGGGCTATTATGTGGTCCATGAGGGCTGCCGTGAGCTTAAGTGAATTTTGATGTTCGGTGGCAGCAATCTCCTCTGGATTGTTTAGTCCCATCCCTCCCAGTATTGATGGAAGTGCAAGAAGTGCTCTTTCTGCTGGGGTGTTTCACAAATTTAGGAATGAACTTGACACTGATAACTTCTTCCAGAGGGTGGAGGAGGGGTCCGATCTCAGGGATAGTACGCATCAGGTAGTTCCAGCGATGCTTGACTCCATGGGTGAATGCTGCAAAGGCCGCATGTGGCTCTGTGTTAGCAATCTCAGACAGTGCTTGGATTTCACTAACCCACTCATTCACCTTTCCCGCTACGTACTCGGTCTTGAAGTCCGTAGTGCCAATTATTGCGCCTAGATGTCTTTGGCCGTCCTTAGTTATTTTGACCTCACTTCCGCTAAAAACCTCCATTGCCCGTTCATAATGTTCTGGCTTCACAATGAGGAAGGACTTGCTGGCGTTTGGGTGGTACCCTATTTGTGGACTTCGCGATGTTACCAAGTCCCACCACTTTTTGATGCCCTCCACTTTTCCTGCTCCTGTAAGGTCATCAGCATATGCCACTTGTTTGACCCCAGTTGTTTCAAATTTTATTTTTTGTTGGAGCACTGATAGGCCAATTGCATACATCGCCATTGCAACAGGATCCCCGTGTGTTGTTCCTTCGGTTGACTGTAAGATGGTATCACCTCTTACAGCCTTGTTGTTTACTATATAGAGGTCTGATGGATTCCTATACGAATTTTCAACATACAATGCAAAGCTTGGACACTTGATCTTGTTGTTGTGCAGTGCAGCCTTGCAGTTAAGTATATTGAATGCGTTTGAAGCATCCACCAGGAGAACGGCCTCACAATCACGCTGCTCAAATATCAATCTCATGGCGTAAATGGCCGCCTCCCCGCCAGCCTGGTGGCCAGCACACACTTGTAGGTTCCCTGCTGCTGCCCTGACATCATCCTTTACCACCTCCATTATGCATTTTCCGATGATCCGCCTCAGCACTTCCCCCACCCCTATAGGTCTACATCCTGGTTTCTTTTCCAGAGGAATAAGGCGGCATGCCGTCAGGGCCTGGAGGTGATGCCAGCAAGAGGATGCAAGCTTTCTTGCAAGGGCGGCAATGGCAGTGCAGAGATCACTTGCTACAGGGCCAAACTTGTTTGTGCTGAGGATGACTCTCCAACCGTTTGCATCCAGACCTGAAGGGCCGGCTCCTCCTCGAGTCTTCAGTGCCTTTTTCCACACCATCTCTCCTGTTATTTTCTCGAACAGGACAGCATTTGGTGGGATATAGTCACCCTGGAACCTGATGCCTTCATCTTCGCTTGCAGGGGGATGTTTCTCTTTCAATAGTTTTAATGTCTCTGTTTATTGGCATCACCCCACCGGAGGATTCCTCTGTGAGAGATCTTATCGCCAGAGACACTTTTCCCACACGCATTTTGTTTCCAAATTTTCTTGCCACGTCATCGGTGTTTTGCTTTCCGTCACCCGTTATTTTTAGTCTCTCCTGCAGTGTTCTTGCTTCACATAGGAGATCATCAAGGGCCCCAGTCTACCACATTGTCAATCTTCTCTTCATTGCTGCCACATTTTCTTTGTGCTTAGCCTTTGTGTGTGTCCTCTGACAAAATAGATGTGGTATTATTGCCAGTATTTGAAGAGCTAAAGGGGCGAGGAAGCGGTCCTGAGTGCTACTACTACTACTACTACTTTGCTGTCACTGAATCGAGTACGACAATCATCCAGCTGTAACACAATATGAGTTATTAAGGATATCACCTAGGTTAGTGAATTCTGAGGTGACATTAGAAGCCGATACGT